TCCTCTTCTTGTATACCATCACCTTCTCCTCCTCCTTTCGCATCCTCTCCTCATTTGCCTCCTCCTGTCTCTTCCACCTCATTTCCTCCCTCCCTTATACTCCCTCTCATTCTCCCCTTCCCCCTCATCCTCGGTCTTCTTTAACCTTCTGTTTCACCTCATCTTCTCTTTTACCCTTTTCTTCAGCTTCTCCGTCTCTTCTTCTTCACCTCCTTTCTTATTTATCTTCCTTTTTTAATGATTTAAAACTTCTCCTTGTTCTTGTCCTCCTCCTCCTTCATATTCCTGTCTTTAGGATTTTTTCATTTTTTTCCCCTCAACCTCATATTGGAGTTCATCGCTTTTACATTGTTAATCCGCAGCAATTTATTATCCGCTTCTCTCTCTCTCTCTCTCTCTCTCTCTCTCATTCTCTGTTTTTTTTTCTCTTACTTTAGTTGTTTTTCAATCTTCGGAACTTTAATTTAAAAAAAAAAAAGTATCAATTCCTTTCATTGTCATTCTTATTGTTAACCAATGTTGTTATTAGATTTTAACAACACCCCACCCCGCTTCGAAAACATAAAACACCTAAAACCATTCGATCTTTTGCAGCTAAAACTTTACAATCGATCACTTCACAAAATTCCTGTCTCATTCGAAGAGAGGAGAATTTTTTTCATGGCGATGGCAGCGGTTGGGGGGGGGGTCTGCGGAAAGAATAACGGATTGAAAACGACTGCATAGATTATAGGTATTTATTCAAACAGCGAAATACAAACCTGGTTTATCGATTCTTAAGATTCTGAGATCTGCAATTGCCTGAATAAATATATATATTTTAACGTAACAATACACAGCTAAACACACACACACACATATATATATATATATTAATAAACAGATTATTGGATTATTTATGCATGCTTATATATGATTAATCACACACACAAGTACACACACACACACACATAAATATATATATATTAATAAACAGATAATAGGATTATTTATGCATGGTTATTATAATCTACACACACACACACATATATATATATAAACAGATATATATTTATATATATAATATACACACACACATAGAAATATATTGATGAAATACGTTTTCAAATTTATCTATATATATATATATATATATAGATAATTAGTATTCAAAATATATGATGTATATATATATATATATATATATATATATATAGAGAGAGAGAGAGAGAGAACTGTGTAGTTGGGTAGCAATCCCTGTTTTATACAAGTTTCATTAAAAACGACTGACAAGGTATGGCGGTAAAGTTCTTTATTGAATTTTTCTTGTGTTCCTATAATTTTCTACTTTTCTGGACGTAAATTATGTAAAAATTGTCTAATTTCTTTTTTTTTTATATCCGAGTGCTTTCGGCTATACTCTTAGCCATTATCAAGGATAATTTAATTTTTTCTATTAACTGAATGTATGGATTGTTTTATGTATGTATCTAGAGTTTTTGCTTCTAAGGTAACCAATAGCGACAAGGAACATAGAAAAAAACAATTTCTATAAAAATCATGTATATGGGAAATATAGTTGCGTTTGTACAAAGACTTTAATTTTTTGTAGATTTATATATTCTTAAACTAGACATTCTGTGGAAATATTGTTCAACATTGTCAAACATTGTTTTTTTTTCTTTTCTTAAATCGCACTTAACTGTTGAAAAACCTTGACAGTGTTACGTCAATCATTTTCTTTATTATTATTGTTGTTGCCAGAGAATGACTAATTACCAAGTCCTCTCCGACGTCTATAAGTAAAAAGAGCACTGTAGGAGAGTTATCTATGCACATTTGGGATGTTTATTATTATTATTATTATTATTATTATTATTGTTGTTGTTGTTGATTCCTTGAATTTCTGTTGTATACACATTTCCTTCGGAATCCCAACCAGAGACCAAAGGTCAGAAATAGCTTCATTACATTTTCAACGGCTAATTTTTGTAAAAAAAAAAAAAAAAAATATTTATATAAAGGTCTTCCCACATTTTATAAGTATAACTAAATTCTTGATGTCCTCATGTGGCAAAATTTTGTCCATTTCCAGAACCTTGTACATTGTGTGTGCCACATTAAGAAAGCACGTTCTTTTCTTGTGGTCTTTGATCGCGATATTCTGGGCGATTAGCGTTGATTGATCTCTGTGTATATTTAAGTCCTAAAATTGTTACATGTCTCTGTAACCGGGTCTGAATTTTTGAGAGTTTTCCATTTTGCATATTTTCCAGAACCTTCTGTCATTTTTATATTCATTTGTTTGTGAATATTTATTTCTGGATAAAAGAATCTGTATTAACAATCTTTCAGTAGGTCTTTTTGGTACTGCCATTGGTCATTAAGAAAAACCTTCTTTTCACCTTTTTACGTAACCACTGGTCCTTTGATTTCGCGAATCAGAGACCTAAGGAAAAATTCTCATTTTCCACTGAGCAGATTAAAAAAAAAACATATATGATTGATCTCTGTGTATATTTAAAGTTCCATAAAATTGGCTACAGGAACCATCTCTGTAACCATCCGGGTCTGAGTGCCACATTTTGATATTCATTTCCAGTTTTTATTTTGCAGTTTTTTGAAGATCTTTTCCCCATAAATGTTGTCATATTTTCCAGGTCTCTGATTTCAGATATTGGCCATTCTTCTGTCTGTGTTTTATATTCATTTGATTTCTAACACACTGCAACCTGAGTCAAGATAAGGCAGGTCATTTATTTCTGGATATTTATCACAGAATCTGTATTTGCTGTACTTTAACACAATTTTTCAGTATGGGGTTTCAGGGATTCTTTCAATGTCTTTGGTAATTTCAGTTAGCAAGCATTGGTCATTTGCAGCAAGAATAAAAGGTCTTTGTATTTGATCGATTTCATGTTTTATCCGCTGGACTGCACTACAATTAGTAAATAACTTTCTGGTTTTTGACTGATGTTCAATTATTATTATTATTATTATTATTATTATTCATCATCATCATCATCATTTCCTTTGGTTTCTGGTGAATGTTAAATTTTTTTTTTTTTTTTTTTTCTTTGCTAGCCGTGTCCCAATCATAAGACAATTTTTCTGTATGTCTCTTAAGCCTAATGGAAAAAAGTGCATCATCTTGTTTTTCATTTTTTTTCATTTCTGAGCAGTTTTTGAAAAAAATGTTACAATCCGCTGGACAAGCATATTTAGATAAATAACGCCTATTTGCTTCAAGATGGTATAATCCCCGTGTGGACCGTGGCTTTCATACAGTGTTTGCTTACACATTTTCCAAAGTGTTTGCAATTTTTGTATTTGCTTTAATTTTTATATTCATTTTAGGGCAAGTATAGAACATCCTGGAATGGTCCTTGGTATTTGTCTGAATCTAAAATTCCTAGAAAAGACTCTTTTGCGCTGCAAATAAACCCATCCAGAGGGCTCCAACTTATTAACTGGAATTGTTTCATCTGTTCATTTATCCTTAGCTCTTTTCATATCTTTTTAAGCAATAGTTTTCTTGGCTTCTGTTTTGATTTACTAGAATCTACTAAATTCGATTTTTGTATTTACTGTCTTTTATTATTTATTTTGATTTCACTTTTTATCATCAGTCAAGTTCTTTCTAAATAAGACCTCTTCCACCTTCTTTACGGGGTATGTATATTCATCCCATGATCATCTTATACTTAGAAAAGCTTTCTTGTTTTAGAATCCATTTGTCTGATGTCATTTAGAGTCAATAAGATGTTGAAACTATATTGGACCAATGGCAAGGTTTTGTCTTTGAGAATTCGTTTTAATACCAGTCTCTGATTACTCTTTACGCACTATTTTTTCATTTTCTTATGGTGATTCCTTCTTTTTCATTGTTCTGTCTCCTGTTCTAAATCTTTTTATTGTTACAGCAGGGTCTAAACTAATATTTGTTGTAGCGATCCTCGTAAAACTGTAGCTTTAGCACATTTATCCAAATTGAATTTCATTCCAATGTCTTCACTGAAGCATTTTACAGTTTGCAGAAGACCTTCCAGCTCATTGTCATTCCTAGCATACAATTTTAAGTCATCCATGTAAAATAGATGGTTTATTTTCTTTTGAGCTATTTTGTAACCGCATTCTGTCTTGTTAAGTTGGCTGGTTAATGCTATAAGTGATATGCAAAATAATAAAGGAGACAAAGAGTCACCTTGAAATATTCCTCTATTGATGTTTATTTCGCCAGACTTATAGGTTCCATTTTATGATTGAGGTAAAGTGTAGTTTTCCATATCGACATACATTGTTTGATGAAATTGATGATAACGGGTGATACCTTGTACATACTTAAAGACTTTAAGATCCAGGAATGTGGTACACTATCGAATGCTTTACGATAATCTATCCAGGCAATACTAAGATTTTTTTTTTCCACGGAAGCAGTTTTCCAGGATCATCCTATTAATAAGTAATTGGTCTTTAAAACCCTTTTGTTCAAGTGGTAGTATGTCATTTCTTTCCAAGAAGAAATATGTCTGTTTTGTTAAAATAGATGCTTTGTATGTTGTTGGAAGACATGTAATTGGTCTATAGTTTTTCGGAATATTTGCATTTTTTGGGTAGATTATTTTATTATTTTTATTATTATTATTATTATTATTATTATTATTCAGCGCAGTATACTTCACTTAGCTGTTTTATTTTTTGCTTTATTGTTTATCATTTCCGCCTAAATAAGGTAATAAAAGCCCTTAGGATGCAAAGGGGGGGGGATACTGAGCGTGAAAGAAGTAGAAAAAGTAATAAAAGAACAGCATTTAAGGAGCTAGACGGACATTGCAGCTACATTTTTGGAGATCGTAGTTGAGAGGAGGGCAGGACGCTGGAAGAGAGTTCCACAGGCAAGAAGTGCTAGAGAAAAAAACTATCAGCATATGATTACAACAAGCAAATTCGATATTGACCTAAATGCCAATCTAGTACTGCGCTTAAATTCATGAAATCGAGGTAACAAAGAGGAAAGATGA